CCCAATCTGCATCTGTATAACATTCAACATTAAGGGAGGCTCTTGGTCTAAACAGCAAGCCATGGAATTGAGTACCTTTAAGATACCTTAGAACTCTCTTACACACCTGCCATTGTAACTCAGTAGGGGCCTAAAGATACTGACTGAGTTTGTTCACCGTAAACCTATTATCAAGCCTGGTTAAGGTAACATATTGTAGAGCTCCAATAGTGCTTCTATAGAGGCTGGGGTCTTTAAACAACTCACTATCAGTTGCAAAAAGTTTGGTTCCTGCTGCCATAGGAGTGGGATAGGCATGTGCCTCTTGCATCTTAGTTTTAACAAGCAAATCATGGACATATTTGGTTTGTTTTAAGTGCAGACCCACAGCTAACCTGGTTGCTTCCAAGCCCAAAAAATATATGACAGCCCCAAGAGTTTTCAAGGCAAATTCGTTGTTTAAATCATGAACAAGCTGTTGAATACTAGAGGAACTTGAACCAGTTATTAAGATGTCATCCACATATATTAGAACATATAGAAGTTGAGAGTTATCCTTGAGAATAAACAAGCTTGAATCAGATATTGAATTATGAAATCCCTTGTGTACCAAAGCTTATTTAAGTTTGTCAAACCAAGGCCGTGGAGCTTGTTTAAGACCATAGAGAGTCTTGTTAAGTTTACAAACATGTGAAGATAAGTGAGGATCCTCAAACCCTTCTGGTTGTCGCATATAGACTGTTTCATTCAAATGACCATTAAGGAATGCATTGTTCACATCCACTTGTTGAATATCCCAACCATAAGTGATAGCCAATGTGAAAATAATTTGAATGGTTGTTGGTTTAACAATAGGGCTGAAAGTTTCAAAATAATCTAAGCCAAGAGTTTGTTGAAATCCTTAAGCAACTAATCTAACCTTATATTTTTGGAGAGACCCATCAGCATGAAATTTGATTCGAAACACCCATTTATTACCAACTATGTTCATATCAGAAGTTCGAGGAACTAGACTCCAAGTTTCATTCCTAATGAGAACATCAAACTCATCTTGCATGGCCTTTTTCCACTCATCACAAGCAAGAGCTTTAATCACTATACCAGGTTCTGGTTTAACAGGTGAGGACTTGATCAGGGTAAGTGCAGTTGAGATTGGGTTGCTGGTTTTAGACTTGGTGATTGTGGTGTGTGTATTAGTGATCGGGGACTGGTTTGTAGGTTGATTATGGTTGATAGAGGCAAGAAATTCAGGTGCTTTATTCACTATAATAGGTTCTAATGGAATAGGTAAAGACCTAGTCAGGGTAAGTCCAGTTGAGGTTAAATTGCTGGTTTTGGATCTGGTGCGCATAGGATGTGAATTAGTGGTCAAAGACTAGTTTATAGGTTGATTATGAGTAACTAATGAAAAGAATTCAAGTGCATGAGTAAGACTTTCAAGTTGAAGACATTGTGATGGAGTTAAGTCAACTACAAGAGAGCAATCGGTGTGTTTCTGTGCTGATTGTGTATAATCTGAAGGTATAAAAGGCTTTTGGATCTTGGAATTGTGAAGAGAATGATGATAACAAGATAAATCTACTTCTAATGGAAAAGTATGTGGAATAGAAGATGGAATGGGAGTAGACAATGAAGAAGTATAATTATCAAGGTTGTTAAATAGAGTATTTGAAATTGAGTTACTGATGTTAGAGGATGGTTTAGGAATAGATGGACTAGGTATATATTTATTAATGTCCTGAAATGAGGATCTAGGACCTGACTTGTTAGTGGTGAAGGAAGGATTAGGGACAGAACAGTTCACTACAGAGGAGACTTTGCTGGTTGTACCATTGGAGAATGGAATAGAAACAAAAGGAAAACTTGTAGAGGAACTATGAGGGACTGCTGCTTTGAGTAAAGGAGAACAGGAACTGGACAAAGGTTGACTAAAACCAATAGCAAAAGGGAACTCTAGTTCATTGAATTGAACATCAAGAGTAATGAAAATTTTTCCCTCTGAACTAAGACATTTATAACCTTTATGAATTAAACTATAACCCAGAAAAACACATTTAGAAGAGTGGAAATTCAACTTGTGTTTCTTGAAATCTCTCAAGAATGGAAAACAAGCACAACCAAAGATTTTTAACTTAGAATATTTAGGAAACCTACTGTAAAGAACCTGATATGGTGACAAAAAACTCAAAATTGAGATAGGCATTCTATTAGTGAGAAAAACAACAGTATCAAATGCACACCACCAAAAATGTAAAGGCATAGATGCATGGGCTAGTTTCTGCTATATGTCCATGGTTCCTTTCACTTCTCCAATTTTGTTGGTGCACATAGGCACAGAAATGCCTAAGCTGAATTCCAGCAGTTGTAAGATAAGGTATTAGACCTCTATACTCTCCTCCTTGGTCAAACTATAAGACTTTGAGTTTATAGCCAAGCTGTCTCTTAACTAAATGGTGAAATTTGATGAAAGTGGACTGAACTTTAGCTTTGGTTCTTAAGGGAAACATCCAGGTGAACCTACTGTAGTCATCAATGAAATGAATGTAGTATTTAAAGCCTTCTAAGGAAGCTACTAGTGCTGGTCCCCAAATGTCACTATGAACAATTTCAAGTGGCTGTGTAGCTCTAGAGGTTGAACTAGGAAAGTGATTTCTATGTAGTTTTCCTAATTTACATGCATCACAAAAACTTAAGGATGAAACAGGTTCTGAAGGTCGTGGGTGAATGTGAGTTAAGATTTTACTTAATACATCACTATGAGAGTGGCCTAGACGATTATGCCAGAGGGACAATGTATTGTTCCTAGTATCACTAGCCTGGAAGACTATAGGGTTAGTTGTTATAGAATGATGTTGGTATGTGTCAGGTTTTCCAATGGCAGCATTGTGAACAAGAGATTTAGACATTTCAGAATTTACATCAACATCAAACACAGAAGCAATATGCAAAATAGAACCAGGATCAGATTTGTCCAGATTAGAATAACTAGCAATATCAGGTGTATTATCAGGAATTCTGTCAGAATTATCAATTATATCAGAGATGTTATTATTATTAGCAGAATCAGTGAAACTAGACCTATCAGTTTTAGTAACAATAATATCAGGAACAGCAGCAATAGAAACAGATACCAGAATCAGAATTAACATAGTTTAAATCAGAGTGTTCCACAGATTGTGTCTTATTAATGAAATCAAGATTACAAACATTTGCATATGAGATAGGATTTTGATTACTACAAAGTAATTGAGGAACTTGCAACCTATGATTATGATTAACTAAAGCATTCAGTGGACTACTAGTCAGTATATTATAGTTGGCATTAGTAGCTTGATTATTCATAGAACTAATAGACTTAGACAATCTATGAGTATACTAACTATCAGTGCCTACTGGCCTATTTGAAAACAAAGTATTACAAAACCTAGGACTCAAAGCAGTTGACTTTTCTAGACCATTAGAAGTGTAACCAGAACAGAAGTAAGAAGGTATGTGCAATTGGTACAGACCAGCCTTAAGTCCTCCCTGTAGTAACACTGCTTTGGTAGCCTTGTCCTTAACAACACAACAATCAGAGTCAAATTCCACAGTTACTTGATTATCTTTAGTGAATCTAGAAATACTAAGAAGATTTTTAGTTATTCTAGGAACACACAACACATTGTGCAAATGTAAATACTTAGAATGAAATGAACTAGGAAATAAAGTTGAACCTATATGAGATATATGTAGAGACTCACCATTACCAACTTGTAGTTGTTCAACCCCATCATAATTTCTGCTGGAAGTTAGTTGAGTAGGATCAGGAATAACATGGTGTACCAAGCTGGATCAACAAGAGCAGTTGCTGGGATATTCATATGTGTTTGAGGGTAATGATTTGAGAAGGTGTTTGGTTAGACACAAGAAAGGCTTGGTTGGGAGTTGGATTTTGGTAGGAACCTTGCTGACTAAGGACATGAAACCCTTGCTATTGATGAAGGAAAGATGGCTTGCCTTGCAGATCAGTATGTTGTTGTTGATTGTGCAAGTTGGAATTTATAACTGACTGAGATGATGAGTCGTAGGATCCATTTATGGAAACAATAACATGCTAACTTCCAGACTGAGAACTATAAGGACTGCTAGTATTGTAATTCTGCTAATTTCCAAATTAAGGTCCATAAAATCTACTATGAAAACCTGGACCAAAACCACCTTGTCCTGACATGTTACTTTGAGGAGGTACACCAGTGTAAGTAGAGTTGTAGCGGTGATAACAGTGAGCTGCTGTGTGGCCAATTTTACTGCAAACTTGACAAATAGGCTTGCCTCTACCATTACTTCTTCCTCTACCTCTCCCAAAAATAGTTCTATATGAAGAGTAAAAGTGACCTGAAGTTCCACCAAATTGTCCAAAGTGTGATCCAGGATCAGTAGAGTTGAACTGAACTCCTGGAGGGGCAGACCAACTAGAGGATAATGGATAATTCTGAGATCCTATGGGAGGATTAGGTAATTCTTGCAGTTGAGACTAATTATGTGTAACCAAACCAGAAGTGTCAGTAGGTGCAAAGGAAACCTTAGTATTAACAGACAACAAATTTTGACCACTTAAAACACTTGAATTCCCAAGAGAAGCAACATTAATATAACCTCCATGAAAATCTATAGAGTTAAACCTATCAAGCCGTAACTTATATTTCTGTAACAAAAACTGAGCCTCTTGCAAAGTAATTGGATCAATCTTAAATTCTACCCTGGAGGTCAGATTGACAACAACAGTGCCAAATTCCGAACCTAAACCATCTAAAATGTGTTGAAGAAGACCTTCATCTAAGATCACTTGACCACTCGCGGACAAGCTTTCAGTAATGCCTTTCATTTTCTTTACATACTCATGAATATTCAAATTACCTTTCTGAGTTGCTTGAAGCAAATTCTTCAAGTGTAAGGCTCTGGCCTTTGACTTAGTTACAAACTCAGCTTCAAGTTTAAACCATACTTCAGATGCAAACTGACATTTTAAGACAAGAGTGAACATGCACTCAGAAATTGAGGTGAGAAGCCAAGTAACAAGGAACTTGTCAATTCGTTTCCAGGTTACATAAGTTGGATTCAGTTTTTCTTTAGCTAAGGTTTTAGATGACTTACTATCACTCAACTTAATTGAACAAGAAACAGAGGTAATAAAGAGAGCTGGACAGGGAATTCTTCGAGTTCGTGCTCTCCTACGGTGAAAAGAACTTGCGATCGCCAGAATCGGTAATTATCAGTGTAACTGTCTCTTGTGAGTTTGGGAGTGACAACCTGGAGGCTTGACGAAAAGATCGAGAGTTGAGGACTAGCTGAAACATTATGCATTTTCTCCATTGAAACTGAGGAAGAGATCAATTGTTAGGATCATTGCCGTCGATGCTTGTCTCTAGCTCTGATATACCATGATAGAATTTGAGGTGGGCCTGACTCCTCACCCAATAAGGCCTTGTTGAATGGAAGGATTACCCCCTCTTATAAACCAGTACGCTTGAGCGTGCTTAGTCAGTGTAGGACTCCAACACTCCCCCTCACGGTCAAGCCCATATGTTGGGTTATTCCTGTTATTGGAGGTAGTTGTCGGCTCTAACTCCTCACCCGCTGGTCAAACACTCAGCTCAACTGAACCTCAGCTCTGATACCATGAGAAACTAAAAATTAAAGATTGAAAAAGTTCTAGAACTCGTGAAATTCTTCTATTAATTTCAGAGAGATACAAGTTGAAAGCTGGGCTTTAGTTTATATACAAAGAGAAAAGACTGACGCTAAGGAGTAAACCCAGCTTAGTGATAAAGAGTAAAGTGACACTTCTCAAAATGACGCCGTTAGCTCATTTGTGAAGTTGCAGTTTTACAAAACTGCCCTCTTTACAGTTTGGCTAACAACATTCGTCACCCCAGATAGCATTCTCGTTGTCACCATTAATGGTGTTGGTCTTGCAATGGAGGTCGTTATACATTACTATTTTCTTTATTTTTCCAAGAAGAAAGGTTGCGTAAGCTCATTAATTTATCTGAAAATACTTCTCAACTGTGTCAAATTTAGTAATCATCATCTCATGAATATTAAGGATCTTAGTTTAAGGTGACAATTTGGATAATAGTAGAGCTTTTGTTTCTAGGCGTGGTGGCTACGTGCACATTGTTACTTAATCACACCCATGAGAAGAGATCTCGAATTGTTGGTATTCTTTGTGTTATATTTGGAGTTCTCATGCATACTTCGCCTCTTACTATCATGGCAGTTATTCTATCCATGACTAATCAATATTATTAATGATTTAACTCTATATTATAATTCTATGTTTCTATTTTGTATTGACAGAAAAAAGATATCACCAAAAAGAGTGTGAAATACATGCCATTCTATCTCTCATTGGCCAATTTTCTGAATAGAGTGATTTGGGTGACTTTTGCTTTGATTCGTTTCGACCTTTATATAGTAAAACCTCAATATAGTTATAATTGTAAGATCAAATTAATTTATTACTATAAGGGGGTTATAACTTAATAGAGGTGTAGTTACGAAAATTATTGTTTTGATTTCTTATTTTATAATTCATGTTTTAGTAGTATGTATTAGGATTTCAATTCATTATTTTAGTAATCATTACTGTGATTAGACAAGAAGTGAACGGAAATAATTCTGAGGATGATAGTACAGAAATACAAAAAAAAATTGTGTCAAGAAGCTCTAAACATGCATGAGAAACTATAAATAGTTTGGCTTCAATAAAAGGATGTTCATGCTATGAAGTTATTAGTATCCAAAGGTTAAAAGATGTGGTAATAACTATAAAGCATAAATCATTGTCTCAAACAACTTTAAATAGATATTTTATTTCATCTTAAACCTTCAATATATATATAAAGATAATTATTATTATGTGGAGACAACTTTCTTAAGATGAGAATTAGAAAAATTATAACTTATTACAATGTGAAGTTTACTTTTATTTATAATTATCCTAAATTGGAACTAAAATTTTTTATGATTATGTAAAGATTATTCCTATATAGAGTATCACTGTACGGAGGTTTTATTGTATCTTGATAATTATATTCTTAATGAAATCAATTTGTGATTAATTAATATATTAATTGTGGGTTGATTTTTGTAGATTGGGAACGGGCTGGGAGCACTCTCTGGTGCAACATAACACAACTAAATTTGGTACACATGTTATTACAAGTCTACCCCTAAAGATGATGAAGGTGAAGATAAGAAGCCACCCACTGAAATTCAGCTCCCTGCTTGTACTTCATCTTGAATAATTTCTCTTGTCAAACCTTTGCAGCCACCACCTTAGTGGATGATGAAGGTCTGGCATCAGTGGCATGTATCTCATTGTCCGAAGAGAGAAACCCCCATGGGCAGACGACCTCCATGGAGGAGGAAGTTCCAAAAGGCAACTCAATCCGAAAAAGGAAAATATCAAACGAAAATAAGAAGAATCAGTTAAGAAAGTAAAAAATCAGACTAATGATGGAAAGAATAAAGTAACCAAACGTTTTAAAAAAGAAAGAATAAAATGCCTAGCAAAGTGGTCAGAGAGAGTTCTCCCATCCTACTCCACTCCAAGCACCTATCTTCCTCAAATTTATATTCTTAAGAAAAACTGTTGAAGCATTGATAATTTGCTGGAAAATTCAGTTAAGCCAGTTTACTTTTTGAATGAGTGTTTGGTGCCAAGTAGCAGATGCATTCCCTCCTTTTCTGCCGAAATTGAAGCTGCTGGTTGTTAATTTTGTGTCATGTTTAGGTGTAATCAGTGTAAGGTAAATGTGTATTAAGTTACCAACTTCGTTTTTGAAATTTAAAGTCTGAATGGTTGTTGTAGTTGGTAAAACAGTAAGCCTTTGATGTGTATATATTGCAAGTTACAGTATAATGAATCTACAATTCACTTTCAGTTTCTTCTTCTTTTCTTTCTTAGAGTTCTCCGGCCAAATACCAACAAATGGTATCAGAGCTTTACACCAAAACAACCTGAACTCTCTCTTACACTCAGTCATCAACCTCTACTCAAGAACACCTCTCATTTTCAGCCTAAAACAACCTACATCTGCACCTTTGTTTACCCTGCGTCAGACACAAAACTTGAAACAATGGCTGCTCAATCAGCTTTAATGTCACCTCCAGTATTCAATGGGGAGCACTACCACATATGGGCTGTTAAGATGAAGGTTTTCCTCTGGGGTCGGGGCTGTGGCAGTATGTGGAAGAAAATAGGCAGCCACCTCCTTTAGGACAGAATCCTACCCTGAACCAAATGAGATTGCATGAGGAAGAAACGGCCAAAGCACCAAGAGCTCTCTCCCACATTCATGCTGCTGTAATAGACCTTGTATTCACAAGGATCATGGCATATGAGACTCCAAAAGAGGCATGGGATAAGCTAAGAGAAGAGTATATGGGCAGCACCACAACAAGGAACATGCAGGTGCTAAATTTAAGAAGAGAATTTGAGATACAGGTGCTAAATTTAAGAAGAGAATTTGAGATGCAGAGGATGCAAGAATCAGAGAAGGTCAAGGACTATGTTGACAGGTTAATGGGTGTTGTAAACAAGATAAGGCTGCTGGGAGTGGAGTTGACTGATAGGAGAGTGGTGGAGAAAGTCTTAGTCAGCCTACCCGAAAGATTTGAGTCCAAAATCTCATCTTTAGAGGACTCAAGAGACATGGGACAGGTTACACTCACAGAGCTGGATCATGCATTGTAAGCACAAGAGCAAAGAAGGCTCTTGAGGCAAGAAGATGTTGGTAAGGGTACAATGATGGCAACTCACAAAACCAAACCAGTTCAAGGGAATAACAGGAGGTATGCCGATGAAAAGAAAGGGAAAGAAAGGAGTAATGGCCAATGGGGAAAACCAGGTGGGATGAAAGAATATCCACCTTGTTCCCACTGCAAAAGGAAAGGGCACTTTGAAAAAAGGTGCTGGTTTAGGCCAGGAATACAATGCAGAGCATGTAAGCAGTATGGCCATATAGAGAGAGTGTGCAAGAGCAAGGGAGAGCAGTCCCAGTAGCAAACACAAGTGACAGAGGACTAGCAACCAGAACAGGGAGCAGAACAGCTGTTTATGGCCTCTTGTAGTGCACCACCAACTTGCTATGATGACTGGCTGGTTGACAGTGGGTGTACAAACCATATGACACCACACTTGCAGGATTTTGTGAGATTAAACTCAACACATCGGTCCAGGATTAAAGTGGCAAATGGTGATTATGTTGAAGCAAAGAGGAAGGGAGATGTTGCAATCCAAACTTCCACAGGTACAAAACTTATCTCAAATGTACTCTATGCACCTGAAATCACTCAAAGCCTCCTCAGTGTAGGACAAATGTTAGAAAACCATTATGTTTTACATTTTGAAAATCAAATATGTCAGATTTTAGATAGTAAGGGGTGTGAGTTAATGAGGGTAAAAATGGTGGGAAAAAGCTTTCCCATCAAACTAAAAAAAAAAAAAATTGAACATAGGGTCTGCAGTGCAAAGGTAGATAAATTTGTGAAATGGCATAAGAGACTTGGTCATGTCCATTACCAAGGTCTCAAAGAAATTCAGACCAAGAAGCTGCTCCATAACCTGCCAGAATTAGAGGAGAGTAATACTATGTGCCAAGCCTGTTTACTTGGCAAGTTGAGTAGGCAATCCTTCCCCGTAAATCAAACCTGGAGAGCAACTGAAAAATTGCAACTTATCCATACAGATGTGTGTGGTCCCATGGAAACCTTGTCATTAAATGGAAGTAGATACTTTGTGTTGTTCATTGATGACTATTCTAGGATGTGTTGGGTGTATTTTCTGAAGCAAAAAGGACAGGTTGCTGGTGTATTCAGATAGTTCAAGCTTCTGGTGGAAAATCACGCAGAAAAAACCATAAAGATCCTGAGAAGTGATAATGGTACACAGTACACTTCTCAAGAGTTTGAGCAAGTGTGCAAAGATGCTGGAATTAAGCACCAATATAGCAGCCCCTACACTCCACAGCAAAATGGAGTCAATGAGAGGAAAAACAGGTCAATTGTAGAGATGGCTAGATGCATGGTGGCTGAGAAGAGATTGCCAAAGAAATTTTGGGCAGAAGTTGTTAACACAGCAGTTTTTCTGCTCAATAGGCTTCCCACAAAAGCCTTGGACAGTAAAACACCCTATGAAGCATGGTATGGAGTTAAACCAATAGTAGAAAGGCTAAAAATTTTTGGGAGTATATGCTACATTTTGGTTCCAGCAGCAAAAAGGTCCAAGTTGGATGACAAGGCATTAATTGGTATCTTTATAGGCTATAGCAGTCAATCTAAAGCCTATATGGTATATGTTCCAGAAACCAGGAAAATTCAGATTTCCAAGGATGTCAAGATTGATGAGGATGGAGTATGGAATTGGGAAGAAAACAAACCTGATGTAGAGATAAAACCAGGCTGGACAGAAGCTGTACATGAGCAGATTTTTGATGATGTTGAGAGTGATGTGGAAGATGAAATTTCAGTTAGAGGTACCAGACCTTTAGTTGAGGTTTATGAGAGATGCAACATGGCTTCACTTGAGCCAACATGTTACTTTGAGGCTGCAAAATCAGAGGTGTGGAGAGTAGCCATGAAGGAGGAGCTTGCAATGATTGAAAAGAACCAAACTTGGAACTTGGTGGACAGACCTCAAAACAGAAAAGTGATCCAAGTTAAATGGATTTTCAAGAAGAAGCTCAATCCGGATGGTTCAGTCCTTAAGCACAAAGCAAGGCTGGTTGTCAAAGGCTTTGCTCAGCAATATGGAGTTGATTTCCTGGATACCTTTGCACCAGCTGCAAGGCATGACACAATTCGACTACTACTTGCAGTGGCAGCCCAATTCTCATGGAAAATATTTCAGCTGACATCAAATTTGCCTTCCTTAATGGATGGCTGAATGAGGAGATATATGTTGAGCAACCGGAAGGGTATAAAGTTAAAGGAAAGGAAGACAAAGTGTATCTCCTAAGGAAGGCCTTGTATGGCCTTAAACAGGCACATAGGGCCTGGTACAGTAGAATAAACAATCACTTGCTGAATTGGATTTTGTGAGAAGTCCAAATGAACATACATTGTATGTTAGGGAGATTGATGAAGATATTATGATCATTTCCTTGTATGTTGATGATTTACTTGTGACAGGGAGTAAGCAAACTCAAGTTGAAGAATTCAAGAGGTCCATGTTTGATGAGTTTGAGATGACAGATTTAGGAGAAATTGCTTACTTTCTTGGAATGTAGGTTCATCAAAGTTCAGCTGGGATTTTTGTTAATCAAGAGAAGTATGCGATTGAAGTGTTGAAGAAGTTCAATATGGAAAATTGAAAATCAGTGGATGTGCCTCTGGTTCCAAATCTGAAGCTGTCAAGAAATGAAAATGCAGAAAGTGTTGATGAGGGACAGTACAAAAGCTTGGTTGGTTGTTTGTTGTATCTTACAGCAACTAGGTCAGACATGATCTTTGCAACTAGCCTACTATCCAAGTTTATGAGTCAGCCCAAAGAAACACATTTTAGAGCTGCAAAAAGAGTGCTCAGATATGTGAAAGGGAGCACCAGCTTTGGAGTATGGTACAGGAGGTCAGAAGACTTTGGTTTAATTGGTTTTTCAGATAGTAACTGGGTTGGTTCAGTGGAGGACATGAAAAGCACTTCAGGGTATACTTTCTTCCTGAACCATGGTGCAATCTGCTGGATGTCGAAGAAGCAAGAAACGGTTTCACAATCCACAGCAAAGGCAGAGTATATTTCGACTGCAGCTGCTGTAAATCAGGCTATCTAGTTGAGAAAAATCTTGGAAGATTTGAAGCTGAAACAAAAGCATCCTACTGTGATAATGTGTGATAATCAATCGGCTGTGGCTATGGCTAAGAATCCAGTCCATCATGGGAGAACCAAACATATAAAGATCAAGTTCCATGCAGTGAGAGAGGCTGAGCAGGAAGGAGAAGTGAAACTGGTCCACTGTAATGGTGATGATCAAGTGGCTAACATCCTAACTAAGGGATTATCTAAAACCAAGTTTGAAAGCTTCAGGATTAGACTTGGTGTTTCCAGCAAAATTATCAAGGAGGAGTGTTGAAGCATTGATAATTTGCTGGAAAATTCAGTTAAGTCAGTTTACTTTTTGAATGAGTGCTTGGCGCCAAGCAGCAGATGCATTCCTTCCTTTTCTGCCAAAATTGAAGCTGCTGGAGTTGTTAATTTTGTGTCATGTTTAGGTGTAATCAATGTAAGATAAATGTGTATTAAGTTACCAACTTCGTTTTTGAAATTTAAAGTCTGAATGGTTGTTGTAGTTGGTAAAATAATAAGCCTTTGATGTGTATCTATTGCAAGTTACAGTATAATGAATCTGCAGTTCACTTTCAGTTTCTTCTTCTTTTCTTTCGTAGAGTTCTCCGGCCAAATACCAACAAAAACATTCAGAATCCACCACGTTTCGCTGGACGCTCATAATAGGTTCTTTGCAAGTAGAGTTCTTTGAAGATTTCCATGCTTTGAATGAAATAAATAATATACTAATTTTCCATTGAAGAAATTTACATTTTTTGGTTCAGAAAGAAGTGGACAAAAATGGTAGGGTAACGGACAGGGGTTAAAAAAAAGATGGATTTGAGAATGGTCTTTATATATATATATAGGGTCTCTTGTCCACCAAAAAAATTGTTTAGCTGTTGAGAAAGACACTTCTATTGTTTTCAAATACAAATTAGCCTTAAATATTTCTAATTTATTATCATTAATATGAAGTTTATATCATTTATGTATTGGAATTTGAAAATTGGGCATGATGTTTGTGACGTTTAATTCAGAGACATCGAATTCTCTACAAATGGTCTCCTACACACAAAAGTTGTGGTAGACAGAATACAAAATTCCATTTCTCTTTCTCACCTTCACAAATTAAATTGGGCATGATGTTTGTGACGTTTAATTAAGAGACATCAAATTCTCTACAAATGATCTCCTATACACAAAAGTTGTTACAGACTGAATACAAAATTCCATTTCTCTTTCTCACCTCCATAAATTAAATCGTTTACACATTCATATTCACTTCGTTTAAATACATAATTGATTAATGTTCTAATCTAATTTTTATTTTGAAGATTAATTTTCAGTTTTTAATTTTCTTATCGTAATGTAATCCGCAATAAATTCCGCATTATCGGTATGTAGGGCTGATTATATTATGTTTTATTTTCTTACATTGTTTTTTTCTTTTTTTCAAGGGAAAAAATAGATTGAACAGAAACGGTCTTATTCTTAGAGATTTCTACCTGCTTATCTACTATATATGCCCATATCTTTCCATAAATGTCGATTCTACATAAACAAATCTTATTACAGGGTTCTTGTTGTTCTTCTCTGATTCAATTCAATTTAATTTCTTTTCTTTTTTATTATTTATCCAATCACAACACACCACATCATCCTGTGAACAGATAAAATACCAATGAAATTTCATGATAAAATACTCCACGTACTCATGCATGCAAGAGATTACTTAATTTCCCTGTAGGCGTGAATGGGCATTCTTATAACTAGATACTAATAGCCAGATATCTGTTTCCATCTGTTACAAGATCATATCAATCTTGTTTTAGAAAGATTTTACAATCATTACAATTAATATTGTTCATATATTTTCTTTCCATATACAACTAGTTCTTCTTATCTTGCCAATAAATCAAATTATCATTCAATAATAAAGTACTGAACTTTCACAACACTACTTCATGCTTTCTTTAATCCTTCTTTCTTTGTCCTCCCGTTTTAATTTTTCTTGCTCTTAGCATAGTATCGAAACTTCAGAAATGGTTACTGCATCAACCGCCCGGAATATTGTTGGCATCATCGGTATGTTTTACCTTTGATTTTCTACTCACAGTTTTTCAATAAAAATATTTTGCACTTAAATGTAGAGGAATTATTAATTGGTTTATCATGCTTTTGATGCATGATTATTTTCATTTATTGTCCATTGATATGACAAATGCTGCATCTCGAAGAAGTATAACCAGATTTACCATTTTTTTTTAAAGAATTTATCTAAAGATATAATCAAACACGCAGATGTATAACCAGGCATGTCCAAGGATTTTATAATTGTTCATATGTATATATTCAACCATTTTTATAAGGTTATGCTTAGCGCTAATTCTGAAAATGAGATTAAACCTGCCTCATTTTCTATCTTTTTTTTTTTTCTTTTTGATTTTTTCTTTTTGGCAGGAAATGTCATCTCCTTCTTCCTATTTGCATCACCAATGTAAATCTCATTCTCTCTTTTCTTGATATATATAATTGACTTTAATTTTTCTATATATTAAAATGATATTTCTTTTTTCATGTTCATAAAATACTTATTAGGACACAGATTAATGAAAATAAGAAGAAATAAAAAAATTCCAGTTTTAGGATAAAAAATTTGACACGCTCTTTAATCTGAAAATATTTCATTTAATTATATATGTTGATACTTGATTTTGACACCAACGACTCGCGCACGCTCAGATCGCTAATCTTTAGCTCCCCGATTGCATGGCCAGATCACTGATCTTCAGCTTCAGATTGTTGATCTTTAGCTCTCCGATCGTGTGGCCAAATTGCTAATCGCACGCTCAGATCGTCTTGATCTTCATCTTTAGATCACTGATCTTTAGCTTCAAATCGCGTGTTCAAATCGTTGATCGCACGCTCAGATATCTGATCTTTCTTTTGCTTTCCAATCGCGTGGTCAGATAGCTGATTGTACGCTCAGATCATCTTGATCTTCAGCTTTAGATCGCTGATCTTTAGCTTCAGATCGCGTGGTCAGATCGCTGATCTCACGCTTAGATCGTTGATCTCGAGTTTTCATATCAAGCTTCGCGCTTTCTGATCGAACTCCTTTCATGCTTTCTAATCGAACTCCTTCCACGCTTTCTAATCAAGCTCTTTAAGCTCTCTAATCGAGCTCTTTATGCTCTCAGGTCGAGCTCATATCAAATCCCGATCAGCTCCTAACTCTCAAATCGCGATCAGCTCTTAGCTTTGATATTGCAAACAACCTCAAGTCGTGTTCTCAACTCTCAAAACGTGATCGTTCTTAGTTCTCATATCGCGACTAGCTGGCAGCGTTAGAAAAAACACGTAGAAAACTCAAAACAACCCCTAAACATGCAAAAACGGTGGATTTTGGCCCTAAAAATAGCCCCAATTAGGTTCCCTAGTCACCATAACGTAGAGCTCGAAACAAGATTTCCGTGGATATCTTACGGGCTCCAAAACTCCTCCCGAATCAAAAGTTATGGTTGTTTTAAGTTGGCTTATCTGTTTAAGGTTTCTAAGCCGTGCGTTTGGGTTTCTAACGTTAGCTCCCTCCAAAAATTCATCTACTGGACATTTCATTTCAGTTATCAGATCGCGTTCAGCTTCAGATCACTCCAAGCTCTTAGATCACAGTTCTAGCTCTCAGTACCCGATCGCGCCAAGCATAGTTTGAGCTCTTCAGTTCGAGACTACAACCTATAGTGCGACAACCATTCAGATCTAAGACATGAGTTTTTGAAGTGCAATTACGCACTCCAAAAACTGGGGAGGGGGGGGTTCTGTTGTGCCTAAAAAATCGTACTGATGTCAGCACCAACCAATCAAAGTTCAGAAAGGCTTTGTGTCATCTAGGAGCTGCCACATCGCCCCAAGACAGAAGAGATACGGCTGTCACCAACCCAACAGAATCAAGTTTTGTCTATGAGTGGATGAAGACCGCACACTTATCCCAACTTTATCAAAATAAAAAGATAAGGATTAAGGAGTGGTCCCCACATGTTATGACAACTTGCAGAAGAACTCATTACGTTGACCTAAAAGGTGTATAAATGAGCACATCTTTTCACGAAAAGAGGAGATTGAGCATATGAGAGCTAGGCATAGATTTGAGCTTCATTATTTCTCTCTGTAAAGCAAAGTATTTCTTCATCTTTGTATGTCTTACAGGCAATATCATAAAAATAGTCAGAGAATAATAAAATAACAGTGAATGTAGGATTTGTTCTAAGCATCCGAACCACTATAAAAACCCCTCTTATCAATCTATTATTTATGTTTCTACAATATATATAATCTCAGTATCATATTCAAATCTCATCTTCCGCTTTATTTCCTTTCATTTCCATTTCACGTGTAATTCCTAAGTCACCTTAGCACTTTAGACGTGTGAATCGTTGGTGTCAAAATCAAGCATCAACAGTATATATTTCAGTCTTTTTGTCACCTATTGACAGAATTAAGTTTTATCCTGTGCACATTCTAGAGTGAACGGTACGATTCCACAATATTCATTGGGTCTATTTTACACTTCTAATATTATTTATCTTTTTCCAAAAATTTCACTCTTATTCTAATATTTTTTTTTTTTTTTCCAATAATGATCCATTAAGGCTTTTAGTAAAAAGACTACTGCCTAGTGCCTTCTTTAATTGGACCCAACTCATTAAAAACGCTAATGTTTATCTGTCATAAGTTAAAACATAATATTAATTACATCGATGATCCATAATTTTTTTTTTCTTTTCTGTTATCTTTCATTATCACTAGTTTATTACTACTACTGAAGAAGCTTTCCTGAAATTATGGATTATATCTTGATCGAAAATTTTACTAAAGATAAACATTGTAATTGATGTGATGATACAGACCAACATTTGTCAAGATCTACAAGAATAGATCAGTTGAAGAGTTCAAGCCTGATCCTTATTTGGCAACCATTATGAATTGCATGTTGTGGATCTTCTATGGCTTACCATTCGTCACCCCAGATAGCATTCTCGTTGTCACCATTAATGGTGTTGGACTTGCAATGGAGGTCGCTTACATTACTATTTTCTTCATTTTTGCCAAGAAGAAAAGCCGCGTAAGCACATTAATTTATCTAAAAATACTTCTTTACTGAGTCAAATTTCAGTAATCATCATCTAATGAATATTAATGATCTTAGTTTAAGGTGATAATTTGGATAATGATAGAGCTTCTATTTTTGGGCGTGGTGGCTACGTGCACATTGTTACTTAATCACACCCATGAGAAGAGATCTCGAATTGTTGGTATTCTTTGTGTTATATTTGGAGTTCTCATGTATACGTCGCCTCTTACTATCATGGTAATTATTCTATCCTTGACTAGTCAAATATTATTAATGATATAATTTTATATTATAATTTTATGTTTTTATCTTGTTTTGACAGAAAAAAGTTATCACGACAAAAAGTGTGAAATACATGCCATTCTATCTCTCATTGGCCAATTTTCTGAATGGAGTGATTTGGGTGACGTTTGCCTTGATTCGTTTCGACCTTTATATCTTGGTAATTATATTCCTAATAAAATCAATTTGTGATTGATTAAATATATTAATTGTGGGTTGATTTTTGTAGATTGGGAATGGGCTCGGAGCACTCTCGGGTGCAGTACAACTGATTTTGTACGCATGTTATTACAAGTCTACCCCTACAGATGATGAAGATGAAGATAAGAAGCCACCCACTGAACTTCAGCTCGCTGTTTTTACTTCATCTTGATTAATTTCTCTTGTCCACAAAGATAAATTTTAGCTGTTGAGAAAGACACTTCTATCGTTTTAAAATACAAACTAGCCTTAAATATTTCTTATTTATTATCATTAATATGAAGTTGATATCATTTATGTATTGGAAATTGGAAATTGGGCATGATGTTTGTGACATTTAATTCATAGACATTAAATTCTCTACAAATGCTCTCCTACACACAAAAGTTGTCTTTGATGGAAAGACTTTTACATACTTTAAAAGGGGAACAGTTACAGATTCCTAATACACACAATTCTTCTAATCCCAAAAACCATCGTTCTAAGGATTGTAGTGCATTAGAAGAGTCTGTAACTTTTCAAGAACACAGCAACAACAAAATTGCTATGACTGGAGGTTAGTAGTTAAATTATTTTGTTTCTGCAAATTTCCATGAATATATGAATATATACATATTGATCTTGAGTGATTTACACTGCTGTTTTTAACAGTTAAACAACTTTATTTTCCACTCAAACTCTAGGAGAGATTACGAAATTATAGATAAGATTAGGATATTAATTTGAACAAAATTAGGCGATTAATTATCAAGTTAAACAGACTTTATTTTCCACTCAAACTCTAGGAGAGATTACGAAATTATAGATAAGATTAGGATATTAATTAGGCTATTACTTATCAAGTTAAACTGACTTTATTTTCCACTCAAACTCTGCTTCATAACTCAACATGTATAAACACTTACTCCTCTCAATTATTTTTTGAAAACAAATTTGACGAAACAGTCTCTGCTCTCTCTCCCATTAGCTCCATTCATAATGGTTAGCGCCGAAGCTGCTCGCAATATTGTTGGCATCATCGGTAGGTTATGTTGCGTGTTTTCATTTGTTGCTACGAAAAAACATGAATTGTTGTATGTTCAATCACTTTTTTTGTTTTATAAAATATTTGATTTTGGTGCAGGGAATGTCATCTCCTTTGGTCTCTTCCTATCGCCGTGGTAACTTTTTATATCTCTTTAAAACTTGATTTTTAGTTTTCGAGTTATCAGAGTTCTCCTAAACACTACTTTGACATGGCTTTTATGAATTTCAGTATTGTAATTAAATAAACTTAGTGATCTTTTTTTAGATTGTTGATTTGATCATTGATGTGTTGACTAACATTATTGATTTTAATGAATAGAAATTTGAATTGTTATTGAGTAATTAATAAGCCTTTGATTGTTTTGACAGTCCAACTTTTGGCGTATAATTAAGAGGAAATCGGTGGAGGAGTTCCAGCCATATGCATATATTGCAACATGTATGAATTGCATGTTTTGGATTCTATATGGTCTTCCAGTTGTTCATCCTGATAGCACTTTGGTCATCACCATCAACGCTATTGGCCTGGTAATGGAGTTGATATATTTATCAATATTCTGTTACTATGATCATCAGAACAAAGGAAGGGTATGCTCTCTGTCTCTTTCTCACATATTGTTCAAGTATTAATTTATCGCTGTGTATTAATTTTATCACACATTGTTCTCACAAGTATTGTAGTACCCGGAATACAACAGATTTGATATTTGTTTGAAAGAGAATGAAACTTAATTGGCAAATTGTTCGGAGTATGATCATAGAAAACATAGTCAATAGTGTATGTGTGTTAATTTAATGCTTGCAGATCCATTGTCTGATTTGAACTAATTGGAGCGACTTTTGAAAACCACAGTTTGTCAATTGATTAAGTAGAGGCATTTTGATAATTTGACATACTGAATCTGACTCATAATACATGATATGTTCTTATTGTATCATAATCTCTTTACAGAAGAAGGTTGCGATTGGACTTTCAGGGGAAGTGGTTTTCGTGGCAGTGGTTGCTATAATTACAATGGTGGCATTTCACACCCATAACAGCAGGTCATTCTTTGTGGGAGTTATATGCGATGTCTTCAACATTATCATGTATGCTTCACCTCTTACCATTGTGGTAAGTATTCCCAATTCCCAAATCCATCCATTGATGAGAAGAAGATATGGTTTCAATTGTTGAATGTTTCTTTGTGTGGATTTCAACAGAAAAAAGTTATAACCACAGGGAGTGTAGAGTACATGCCATTCTATCTCTCACTCGCAGGTTTCACAAACGGTTGCATCTGGACCGCTTATGCTCTCATCAAGTTGGACTATTTCATTCTGGTAAACCAAATATTTTTCTCAAATAATTTTAGGCAACTTTAATAAATGAGGCAAAGAACTACTATATTGAACTAACGGATGCTATTATTTTCGTTTGCTCTTGCAGATAAGCAACGGTCTTGGATCTCTTTTCGGTCTTGTACAACTCATAATATATGGAATATACTATAGATCAACCCCCAAAAAAGGTCAAGATATTGTAAAGCCAACTGAGGTTCAACTATCTGCTGCATCCACGGCCTAAATTGAACGGAAATTTCTGTCTTTATTTTTAAATTACTCGTTGGAGTTGGAAAGTGAAATAGAAATGTTTGCATATTCAAATATTGAATCAAGAACATAATGTATTATGATTGTATTGAAATGGAAATGGAAAGAGAAAGGGAAAGGGAAATGAAAATGGATACATGTTTGAATAACGAATGAAGAAAATAATGAATTATAATTCCATTGTTTACTTATAAGATATTGAAGGAATGAAATTAAATGTGTGTTATATGGAAAAAAATACTCACCATTATAATATTTCATATAAGTTAAAAATTATTATTATAAATGTAATTATTTATTATAAGATTAATAGAAGCATTAGATTATGTCGTATACATTTTATGCATGAAGTGCATATGTTGTGGCTATGTGCACATTGTTACTTAATCAGACCCATGAGGAGATCTCGAATTGTTGGTATTCTATCTTCTTGTGAAGCCAATCATAGGCCATATTGATAAATGTCCAACTTTTGATCTTTTGAAGAATCAAATTATAAGCATTCTTAATTGATGTGGCATGTTGGTAGGCAAGAATAACAGGCACAAAAGCCCGTATTACAAAAGTGAAATCTCCAAGCAAGATGGAGATGACTGATGCTGAAGAATGAGGTTGAGATGACGGCAACAGGATCGAAGAACTGTGAATAACTTGTTTGACGATTATGATATTTAAGTCAGTCGCCAAGGCAAATGAATAAAACAATGTGCTCAACAGAAAAATCCATATATTCGCGGAATTTGTTTCAATAAGCAATGAAATCAGAAATGCGAAGGAAGAAATTTTGGCCACTGCACATAGGTTACTATTTGTTTATGTTATACGATTTTGATTGCTTTTTAGATTTCCGTGTATTTATTTTATTTTTATTTTTAAATTAATTTATACAGTCTAAAACAACTATTATAATTTTTATATTGAAGCCAATTAAAAATGTATATATAAAAATTATTTGTTATCTAAAACACTTCTTTGTTAAAATAGCTAACTTCAAGAAATTAGTGACATTGGATTCACTAACAATTAAAGGGTATTACACAATATCAAACGTGACCTCTAACGAAATTCTTAGATCATGATTCGAGAATAAGTTGAATTATGATCGAAGGATGTGGCTTAAAAATAACATAGTCGAGTAACAAATAACAAAACTCAATTTAAGTAGGTACCCGTATTAACTTTAGGTGAGAAAATGATATTTTAAAATCTTTTTTAGTAGAAAAAAGTTGTTAACTCTTGTAAAAAGCTAGTACATGTATCTATGTAGTATTAAGAATATACAAAATCATCTTAAAAGTCTAAAATTACATTCTCTTTAATACTTTTCTCTCAATGTAAATTTTATAAATACATTATACTATAACACAACCCATACAATCGTCAATCAATTCAAGTGATACCGTTCGTTCTTCCTCCAACAAACCAACCATGCCACCCAACGTTAATACAAACTCAATACTGATCGAAAATATTCATGTTGAGTTAAGCTAAATTCTTATTTCTTTCTTCATAAACATCTAATAAACTCTAAATATCATATAAAATTATTAAAATTATTAAAATTATGAACCCATTAACCTTAATAATATTTGATCCCATTAAAAATATGTATAAAATCATACAATCTAGATAGTCAAGTAAAATCATACTTACAAAATAAGCTAAATTCTTATTTCTTTCTTCGTAAACATCTAATAAACTCTAAATATCAAATAAAATTATTAAAATTATGAACCCCTTAACCTTAATAATATTTGATCCCATTAAAAATATGTATAAAATCGTACAATCCAGATAGTCAAGTAAAATCATACTTGCAAAATAAGCTAAATTCTTATTTCTAAGCATACTTAATCGAATTCTCAGTATGATGTGGAAACCAACCCTCTGCTCTAATTCTTATCGCGAGTACTCTGTATATATAAATCTTAGGTTAATTTTTTTTTTTTATTATTACTATAAGAACAACACAATTTGCAAGTGAAAATGGCCATAAAAAAAGTGGTTTGCCTATTTAGTACACTTCAAAATTAAGATAAACAAGGCTTATTACTGTTATGCCTAAAAAACCAGGACTGACGTAAGTTTACGTCAACAAGCATCAATCAGAGTTTAGGAAGGCTTTGCGCCGTCCAAGGGTTGCCACGTCACCCAAAAACAGAAAGAATATGGCTATCATCAACTTAGCAGATTCATGTTTTGTCTATAAGTGACTGAGGACCGTACACATGTCCAAACCCCATATAATTTGAGAATATTTCCTAAGTTATCAGCCAATAGGAGGCAAGGAAGGATTTGCATGGCATCTACCCACTTGCAGATCTATAATCATTACCTTGAATTCAGCTGCTATAAATATAGCACTCCCCCTCTCATTTTCGGGATCCTAAACTCTCATTCTGATTCTAATTGTAATCTTTAGATCAAAGATAACCTACGAGAAAGAGACTGACTTAATATTCTCTCTGAATACTCAGTTATTGTACCTCTACTCACTGTTTGCTATACACGACCTCTTGTAAACTCTCATATATAAAAGAAACAGTGGACGTAGGAATCACTTTAAGCATCAAAACCGCTTTAAAAATCACTTTTCATTTACTATTCAGTCTTTGCATTCAATTATATTGATTAGCTCTCTCATAATCATTCACGTGTAATTTTTTAGAACAGTTTAGCACTTTGCACGTGTAGGTTGTTGGTGTCAAAACCTCACATCAACAGTTTGGCACTAAAAGGAGGGCTTGATTTTATATATGCTCTTCATTCAAAATTTCTGATCAATTAATTCTACTTGCGAACAAATGGCTCGTGGTCTTGAAACCGAGCGAACTAACACCAACAACGAGGGGATCCCCCAAGTACAGGATGTTACTTCTCCCAAAGTACCTCCAGTTCCCCTAGGTGCTGCGGCAAACATCCCCTCGACCTCTCAGCTCGATCAGGCTATAATGAACTACCTGGAGAGGTTCAGTAATAATGTCCAAACGGTTAACTGAAGGTTAGATCATTTGGATCAGGTCGTACCACCTAATTCTAACAAGGCAGTACCACCTCCAAAAATGCATGTAGGTCGCGCTAAAGCATGGAAACGGGCGAAAGCTCATACCACGCGCATTATAGCGCATAAGAATAAGGGAAAACAGGTGGCTAACAATAAGCCAACAGGCTCGAAAGGGCCAGTGAATACCGATCGTGAAGCAAGTAGAATACATGTAGCTTTGCGACTTGATGGTATGTCACATCATGAGTCATCTCACGCCACATCGCATGGACACTCCCACAAGAGTGCACAGCATAGAGATTCTCATTATTGTTCGAATGATGGTTCCGACCATCACCGCGAGGGAAATATCTACCATTCGCGGGTTCTGACCACTGCGGTGGTCGAGATAACTCCCCAAGCCATTCAGTGACTTCACATGGCTCCAGCTAGCATGTCCCAAGGTATGCCGAAGGCTTCGACCGAGGCGTGGAAGAGTCTAATCTGCGGTCTTTCCTTAATCACAATCATGGGGAACAAACCCCCATTGCAAAAAGTGATCCCCAAGTGGCTTCGCTTCCTAAGATTGAGGAGTTACAACAAGCTCTAGATTAGCTTAAAGCTCAGCAGAATGAGCGAGGGTAGGTCATCGAGGCGTCTCCCTTTTCTCTAGCAGTTTTGACTACTCCTTTCCGGTCAAGATTTAGAATACCCGATATGCGAGCATTCGATGGGAATTATGATCCGTAGGATCATCTCTATGAGTTTAAGGACTTCATGGAGCCTCACCAAGTTTCCAACTTGGCAAAATGTCATTGCTTAGCAATGACTTTGATTGCCCATGCTAAACTTTGGTTTATATCGCTTCCACCAAGATCTATCAACTAGTGGCAACAAATGAGTTCGTTATTTTTTAGACACTTCTAGGCTAATAGGAAGTTTTCAATGTTGTTGAGCTATCTTAGCAACATATGGCAAAAGAGGAAAGAATCCCTCTAGTCCTATATTGACAGGTTCTACAAGGAGCTGAATAAGGTGGCTAATACACCCGAAGATTTAGTTTGAACTCTTATTATTGCAAGAATTTGCCTACAAACTGACCTATAGAAGAAATTGCAATCTAAGGACGATATTTCCCTCACTCGCTTCTATAACCTCACTGAGTAATATCTCAGAATTGAAATTCAGTGGCTACTCTGAATCGCCATGACCCCGCTCTTTCGACCAGCACTCCCAATCGGAGGGAGAAAAACCGGGGAGAGAGTAGTAGAAGACCTGATGGTAAATGGGCTAATGACGATCAAAGAAAGAGAAAAAAATAACGGTTCGAGCCTAAGAAATCTTATGTCCATGTGCCTCATCGCGATCACGACAAGAATCCGTTCACTCCATTGAATGCATCGGTATCAGCTATTCTAGATAAATCAAAAGAAGCTAATCTGCTCGGAGAGCCAGAGCCTATGAAAAATCCCCCTTCAATAAGGAACAACAAGAAGTATTGCCATTATCATTGAGATAACAAGCACCATACTGATGAATGTCGAGCTCTTAAGCAGGCTATTGAAGACCTCATTAAAAAGGGGCACTTCAAGGAGTATGTTGATGGTCCAACTCTCACTCGGGAGAAAGATCAAGAGGACAATGGAAAAAAGTGTTGTGGTCGCAAGGGTCTCCATTTCGTTGGGATTACATTTAGAGGAGCACACCTCGCGAGGAATTCTCGAGGTGCTCAGGAGAAGTACGCTCAAGAAGCTCGTCATGATCCCATGATCTATTAAACATGGCACCATGACCTGTTAAGGTGTGTAAAAAGGAAAAGATTACATTCTCAGAGAAAGATGCGGTACAATTGCATCACCCGTATGAGGATGCACTCGTCATCACGGCTGAAATAGGTCGGTGCAAAGTCCACAGAATGTTGGTGGATAATGGGAGTGTCGTGAACATCCTATTTCAGTGAACATTCAAGGAAATGCAATTGGAAGAGGCAG